AATTTAACATATATTTGAATGAACATAACTGGTTAACATGATTTTTCAGTGTCTTCTGGGATTTGTTTTAGAATATATTAATTAATATTTTTATGTGTTATATATATATATATATATATATATATATATATATATATATATACATACTCAACATGAAAACCATTTTATTTCTGTGATTTGACATATGAATGAGTTTTTTTTTTTTATTATTATTGTAATTATTATTAAATATTATAATTAATATTTATTAATTACATTTGAAAGGGTTTTCAAAAAGAAAAAATGTTACCTAAAAAAAAAAAATTAAGGGTAAAGTTCTTTTTAAAGAAATTAGGACCCAGCAAGGATGCATTCTATTTACCAAAAGTGACAGTAAAGACATTTATAATGTTAACTTACAAAAGATTTCAAATAAATGCTGTTTTTTTGGGTTTTTTTTACTTTTCATTGATCAAAAAAAATCTTGAAAAAAATATATCAAGGTTTCCACAAAAATATTTAGCACCACATCTGTTTTCAACATTGATAATAATATGATATGTTTCTTGAGAGAGAGAAAAAAGCATATTAGACTGATCTCTGAAGGATCATGTGACACTGAAGACTGGAGCAATGATGCTGAAAATCCAGCTTTGCATCACAGGAATAAATTACATTTTAAAAAAAATTAAGGGTAAAGTTCTTTTTAAAGAAATTAGGACCCAGCAAGGATGCATTCTATTTACCAAAAGTGACAGTAAAGACATTTATAATGTTAACTTACAAAAGATTTCAAATAAATGCTGTTTTTTTTGGGGTTTTTTTTACTTTTCATTGATCAAAAAAAATCTTTAAAAATATATATCAAGGTTTCCACAAAAATATTTAGCACCACATCTGTTTTCAACATTGATAATAATATGATATGTTTCTTGAGAGAGAGAAAAAAGCATATTAGACTGATCTCTGAAGGATCATGTGACACTGAATACTGGAGCAATGATGCTGAAAATCCAGCTTTGCATCACAGGAATAAATTACATTTTAAAAGATATTAAAATAGAAAATATTTTTTTTAACTGTAACAATATTTCTGGTTTACTGTGTGTGTATATATATATATATATATATATATATATATGTGTGTGTATGCATATACATATATACATATCTCAATGTAAAAATTTATATTTCAGAAGTTTTAAATGTATTTTAAAAATGTATTTTAAAAAAATAAATTTAAGGAGCTGTGCCCACAGAATATATTATAAACCAGAAAGACATTAGTTCCAATTATTATTCCATACTGCTAATATGAACACTGATTTTTGCACATGCGAAAGATTAATTTAATTGGTCTATTGTTTTAAAATGCCCCATAAATGTTAAACTACTTAAAAAGAAGACACATCTTAATAAAGATGCTTGTTTTGGGCATATTTATGTAGACCAACAATTAAAAAAATTGTTTAGATAAAAAACAAGAATGCATTCTGTGTGAACGGCCCCTGAGGGTCAGCAAGAGGGTACAAACATGATGCAGGAAACCTTGACTGATATTTTAAGTGGACTTCAGGGGCAAAATTAAATGCTAAATGTGTAGAATATAGTCCCTTGAAGCTTTTTGTTGCTGTAAGTAATGTAAATAAGCATCCGTGTTAGCGTAGCATTTATGTTAACGCATCTATATTGGCATATTAGCATTTCAAATGTAAAGTGCCATATAATGGGCTAGTATTAGCATTAGCGCGGTGTAATGTAAAGCGTAAGTCTAACACATCACCTCCAGCAGATGCGTGCTCAGGGAGGAAGTGATGCGCTAGCGGGCCGCCGTGGGACGTGCTGTTGTCAGCTGCATATCAGCACGCTGTAAATAGCCCAAGGCTGTGCTGTTTTATAGGCGAGTAGAGACCGCACGCTCTCTCGCCAGCTGCCGATGCTGCTTTAAACTCGCAAATAAACGAGAGAGGGATGCTTTTCCACCCCGTCTGTGTAAACCTGATTTTCATAAAAAGGTGATCAGATCAGCTGTGACATTGTGCATAATAACTTGTTGTTTTCTTGTCGTTCCTTTCTGGCATTTTCTCGCCCGGGGTGCATCACCCTACAGATTATCTGAGGCGGTGGGAGACAATATGTAATTAACCCATGTGACCTCAGTGTCTTAATTGTTGACTGTTGAAGACCCAACAGCAGCACCTCCAGCAGTGATATCCGTACCATGAGGCTTCCTTTAGTCCACATTTCCTAAAGATGCACACGTAATGCAGAAATGACCCAACACAGCTGCTCTTTTCTTATGAATGTGACTTTTATCGATATAAATCAGACTTTGTTTTGCAGAGTATTTATGTATGGCATCTGTGATCTGGAGTTGTTCATTAGCGGTGCTTGCTAAGCATGGTATTACGCATTAAATGTTCTTTTAACCGTTAACATTAGTATATAGCGGTGTTGTCGTCACAATAGTGAAAGTTCTCACTTTTTTTGATGATACCTTGAAAAATATCGATATTCTATACTCTGGGGAAAAACTGCTACAACATTAAGGGCATAAAATTTGATATTTTTGTTGAAATATAAATATAACATGGCTAGAACATGACAATGAGGTATATTGTTCATTAGTGAAAACTTCTTGTTGTAAAATACTGGAGAAAAATTTAGGAACTTGCATACGTTTACTTATAAAAAAGTGTTTATTTTATCTATTTTTACCCAAAATAGGGCAGTGTAAGGATTACTATGTAATATGTAAAGTCTGTTTCATTCATACTCAAGTCAAAGGGTGCCCTTCTGCAAAAACTACAAATATGCCACACAAAAGTAATGTAGCTTATGACGTTCCAGGAAATCCCTAATATGGACAAAGACATCCATTTATCGACATAGCTGAATAAAAAAGAAGATAGAAACTGATCACTTAACTGAAGACAATAAACACACGACCACGGCAATACCTGTATATAGTTTATCCGTGTTCTTCAAGCCATCTCAGGTATTTTCATTTCAGATATTTCAAAACTCCAAAAACGTATCGATACTGGCATTTCACTGCAGTTTCCAGCTTAAACACTAGAGGCAGTAAAACGAGATTTTAGATTAATAAAGACTTATTTTCACAACACTATTTTATGACACGCTTACCATAGTGCTTTATTTTTAATAATTAGCACAGTTTAACATGTACATCACATAACTATCTCCATATGTATAGCTTTTCTGAACTTGCTCGGTAGCTCACCTAGTACAGCATTGCACTTATAAAAGAAAGCTGGTTGCTTCAGCAAATGTGTTTTTATGTTGTATTCGCTTTTGTTAACACTGTCACTTGAGTTTATAGTAGTGTTTAGTGTTAGTGGTACGTTATTTTCAAACACTGTATAGCATTAACCTTTTAGTGCATTTAAATACACATAACAACCAACAATGCCAGATTTATGTTTCAGATAAAACTGAACAAAGTTTTAGCACCACTCACAGGACATTTCGCTTTTAAAGTGCTGTGAAACATGAAAGAAGCAACATAATATCCTTTTGCAGAAATCTCGTCACAAGCATGTTTTTCCAATGAAGCCTGTGTTGTCATTTTCAATGAGCGAGCAGAGGCAGGCGGCAAAACTGTTATGGCACTGAAAACACAACTGCTTGCCAAGCTGTGCTAGCGGCTCACACCATGCAAAATAAAAAGTGATTTTGCAGCTGCAGTCTGTCATTAGCCAATCACAGGTGATTTTGTTCACAATCAAGCACTTTAGCTTTTATGTGGTTTTGTGTTCTTCACGCTGCTATGTTGCATTGAAAAGAAATCTTAGTGAGAAATAACTTTTAATTGAGAAATGAATTCAGTTTTTGGTTATTTTTGTTATGCATCAGCATTATTTTAGTATAATACTGTTATATTTTTATTAATAGTTTGAATTAGTTTAAAATGTTATATTTTGTGTTTTATTAAGTTTTAGTTATTTTGTGTGTTTTTGTGATTTTTATTGCTCTGTTGTTTTTTTAATACTTAATGTTTTTTTCTTTATTTCAGTTTCACTTTGTTGTTTTAGTACATGAAGTACACTAAAAGAAAATGAGAAATGTTTTCTTGGCATTTTTTTTCTTTTTCTTTTATTAGTATTTTTTTATATATTTTTTATTTCAGTTAACGTTTATTTTATTTCAGTTGACATTAATGTTTTTTTAAGATTTTATTTTAAGTTAAATATAAGGCAAGGCAAGTTTATTTGTATAGCACATTTCATACACAATGGTAATTCAAAGTGCTTTACATAAAATAAAATAAAAACAATAATCACAACAATAAAACAAGGAATTTAAAAACTTTGAAAAAAAAAAAAAATTTGATTTAAGAGGTTTAAAATGAATTTAAGAAGACGATTATACATATAATATAGTGCAATCAGTTCGGACATCGCACAGTGCTCATTCAATAAATGCACAGCTAAACAGATGAGTTTTGAGTCTGCATTTAAATGTGACTAATGTTTTAGCACATCTGATCTCTTCTGGAAGCTGATTCCAACTGCGGGTGGCATAATAACTAAAAGCACATTCTAGTAAAAATTATGTGAATTTCCCTTTCATGTTGGCTGACATGGTAGCACATCCTGATATATAACATTACTGTTTATCACGATATGATCAATCCATAGTTTTTCTGAAATATAAACTTCTTGACAGATGCCTGTGTGATTGAGTTGACCAATGAAATTGAGTTAGCAGGAAAAAAACTGGTTTGGAAAAAATTAACTCCGCTACCTTTATTGATATGAATAATGTTTATGTATCGCTCACACCGTCCCTTAGAGTTAAGGCGTCTGTGATCCGAAGCTGTTAATTGACGTTGTAATTGTTGCTCTTTAATGATGTGTCAGTGGTTTCCACACGGGATGCGGTTCTGTTTGCAATTCTGGGCTTGATGGCTTCCCTCTCTGAGCTGTGAGGAATAAGCTATTTCTGAGACTCTCGCCTGACTTGTTTCTTCTCTTTCTCTCTTTCTGTTTCCTCCACAGTCCCTGGATGGATTTATATTTGCACTAAACAAGGAGGGGAGGTTTTTGTACATCTCAGAGACGGTGTCCATATACCTGGGGCTTTCACAGGTGAGTGCACGTGAGATTTTCACTCTCCGATCTCTTTTCGTCCATCGGTGCGGAAGAGAATCTGGACAAATTAGTGTTAGATAAACTCCTGCGGGTTTGTTAGCTGCAGTTTAATTTGCTGCGTTCATCACTGCATATTTTAAGCGCCGGAGAGATGTTCTCATTGTAATGCTGGCACGTTCTCCGCTCCTGTTGGCTCGTGCCCGGGCCTTTCAATAAACAGACAGATCGGCGAGGTCAGACGGTGAGAAAGTGACCTTCAGAACTCCAGGTTCTGTCTAGCTGAGCTTCATCTCGAGTGCTAGCAGGCTTCAATCAAACTAGACACGGCTGCACAACAGGCAGCTTCTGTTCACCGGTGGTGGAAAAATCCACACAAATCATCAGAATGGTCTTGTATGAGGGATCAAAACCACCGCACAAGTGCCGTCAAGATTCTCACTGTACCCGTTACTGTAACAGTTTAACTCGTTTTTGTCTATCAGAGATAAGGAATCGCTTTGGATGTGCTCAGGATGGCAAACTACCTGCTAATTTTGAAAGAAAACGCTATGCAGCTTTTATACGGTTCACAGCGTGAGGGTCCAAAATGGGAAGTATACTACCTGAGCACACTGTATCCCACAATGCAATGCACTCGATTCAACCTTTCATTTCTAGTTGGACAGACAAACCAGAGGTGATGCCAACCTCGATTTTGAATCTCAAAGGCTAGTTTTACTCAAAATTGGATTCAGTGTACAGTATAAATTGGCATACTAACTACTATTTTTGAAGAAAAAAAATACAGAATTCATTATATATACTGTGCACAGACTGCACGTACCTGGATGACACGGGTTCAGAATATTCAGTATAAAGTCACATTGCATGAAATATTGTATCCCACAATGCCATGCACTCAGTTCAACCTTAGCTTTCTAGTTTGGCATAATAAACCGAAGGTGATTCTAAACTCGATTTTTAATCTCATAGACTTGCTTTATTCAAAATTGGAAAAAAAAAAGTTTATGCCTGGACTCCCTGAATTTTACACACTGTTTTTCACAATTAAAAAAAACTTGCTTTACTCAATTTTATTTAGTTGAAAATATTTTTTTTTTTACATATATTTTAACTGGACCTGAATTTAACAAAAACATATACAACTGCTGTAAACATTTATCGTTGCATAATGCAAAACCATTTTACATACTTAAATGACTTAATGCCGTATACAGTAGGGTTGTGACGGTGAGGAAAGTTTCTCACCGGTTAATCGACGTGTGACAACACCGGTAATACCGGTATCACCGCGGGGGCGGCGGCGTTCCCTCTTTCCTTCGCTTTTAAATAGCTTGTAAAAGCTGTGTGCGCATTTTACTTTCACTTTGAAATGGCGGCAATTCGGCGTAAAGCATTTGTTCGTTTTTAGTTTGTTTGAATTTCCCCTCTTTTCCTCGCTTTCCTTTGCTTTAAATAGCTTGAAAGCGCCGTGCGCATTTTACTTTCACTTTCAAATTAGTGGCAGTAGTATGTATACACGCATCAGAATACCTGGATGGTTCAAAAAATGAACCAGAGATGATACTTCACTTTTTCAGACTCTGAAAATTGGGATATTTTTGCTCAAAGTTGGATTCAATGCAAATTAATGATATGCATTTCTGAGATTTATAAAATGTTTTGCATAAAAATAAAGTAAGAAAGTATTATGCGTTATGTATACTGTGCACAGTATTTATGTATTTATTTGTTTTTGTATGCACAGAATATGCAGATGAAAAATAGCAGGCAGTATGCTGTACATACTATTCAGTGCACTATGATTCCATACTCAACATACGCTTTCAATCAGGTTCAAGTGCTGCTATGACCTGTCAGATCTGAACATTGTAAATATTGAGTCTTCTAAATTATAAAAGCAACAGTGGCTGTAAAAGACTAATAAAATATTCTGCTAGATAGAAGGATTGAGATATGAATGTAGAAGAGAATACTAAAGCAAACTCTAAATTAATTCAGCATTAATTGATTGATGATTTTTATCAAATAATTGATTAATTCTCAAAATCCTGGCTTTTGGAATTTGGCTTGCTCTTTTTCCGTGGTATTATCTTTAGGTTGGCCTGCTGATAAAGTGCTTGTAAAGTCTTTAGTCTAAGTAGGTTTTATTATCTTACATGGTTAAGCTTATCCCATAACTCTCCTGATCTTAATTGCCAAACCTTTTTCTTCGTTAATCTGTCCTAGAGGCCACATATTTATAAGGTGTAGTTCATTATTTTCATCGTTAATTGGATGAGCAATTTGCCAGCTTTTCTGCATTGACAATTTTATGCATTTTTGTGCTGTGGGTAATCAAAAATAGACTATACTATATATGAATTCATATATATATATATATATGAATATATGTTAGTTAATTAACATTTGTAGAAATTAGACTTTGGCGCTCAGTTAATGCACATCTCCAGCCATGCAAGTAATCACCAGGATAGCTTATCTTTTTGTAAATGTCTGTTTGATAACTAAACTTTGATTAATACAGGGAATATTAATTCATACCACATTCAGGGTTGTCGTAGCTTAAGTCTGGTTTGCATTTTTCTGTCAGAAATAACCATGGCAGTAAATGTGGTCTGAATAGCTTTAATGGAGTGGTACTATCGGTCAGATTGAACACGTCTCCTTGAACCCTTTTTTTAATCTAGCATAATGGTTGAAAATAGCCGTTTAACCCTACATGTTGTAACCCTGTAAGTTACAGCCCTGCATTGCAATTGTAAGAGCCAATAGATCTCTCGCGAGCGCTCCGTGTGAGCGCTGATTTCCTAACAGCTAATGATGGAGGTTATTAAAGATTCAGGGCTTGAACCATACTGTGGCCGTTACACTAGGCACAGTCGATAGCATGACCTTTTAGCACCACGGCTCAATCATACGAGCGCTCAGCTGCTCAAATCCAAGCTCTGCTCTCAGACAGATACTGCGGCCTCGCAGGGCACTAGAGGAGCACTAATCTCTAAATCGAGCTCTTCCTCAATCCGTTTGAAAGTAGATAGGAAGCGTCCAGTCATGGAGTCCACTGTCCTCATAATGACATCGGCTGGACCTTACTGTGATTTCAAACCGACTGCACAATAGTCATGGACAGTGTGATTTCATGGCGTGTTTTGTAGAGTGGTTTTGATCCTAGGTTACACATGTTGGATGCAAGTTATCTCCATTAGGATGTTTAATTAATCTGTAGTAAATATTTATAATTATACTTATTCTTAAAATATTTCATTTGTTAATAAATAATATTTATTATTATTATTTTTATAATTGTATATATCTACACACACACACACACACACACACACATGTAGAATTAGTATTACATATTTTGTTTGTTGATAGATAACAACAAAAATAATAATAATAATAATATTATTATTATTACATTTTATTAAAAAAATTTATTATTTAATTATTATTATTATTATTATTAAATATAATAGTAATATAAAAGTAACACACACATTAATATGTGTAATTATAATTAATTAATATAATTTAAAAATATAATTAATAATTAACATATAATTTAATTACTTAGTATTTTCATTATTATTATTAAATAAAATAATGTATTTGTTATTAAAAAATAATAATTAGTAGTACTATACTATATATGAATTCATATATATATATATATATGAATATATGTTAGTTAATTAACATTTGTAGAAATTAGACTTTGGCGCTCAGTTAATGCACATCTCCAGCCATGCAAGTAATCACCAGGATAGCTTATCTTTTTGTAAATGTCTGTTTGATAACTAAACTTTGATTAATACAGGGAATATTAATTCATACCACATTCAGGGTTGTCGTAGCTTAAGTCTGGTTTGCATTTTTCTGTCAGAAATAACCATGGCAGTAAATGTGGTCTGAATAGCTTTAATGGAGTGGTACTATCGGTCAGATTGAACACGTCTCCTTGAACCCTTTTTTTAATCTAGCATAATGGTTGAAAATAGCCGTTTAACCCTACATGTTGTAACCCTGTAAGTTACAGCCCTGCATTGCAATTGTAAGAGCCAATAGATCTCTCGCGAGCGCTCCGTGTGAGCGCTGATTTCCTAACAGCTAATGATGGAGGTTATTAAAGATTCAGGGCTTGAACCATACTGTGGCCGTTACACTAGGCACAGTCGATAGCATGACCTTTTAGCACCACGGCTCAATCATACGAGCGCTCAGCTGCTCAAATCCAAGCTCTGCTCTCAGACAGATACTGTGGCCTCGCAGGGCACTAGAGGAGCACTAATCTCTAAATCGAGCTCTTCCTCAATCCGTTTGAAAGTAGATAGGAAGCGTCCAGTCATGGAGTCCTCTGTCCCCGTAATGACATCAGCTGAACCTTACTGTGATTTCAAAGCAGCTGCACAATAGTCATGGACAGTTTGATTTACGGCATGCTTTTTAGAGTGGCTTGGGGTTGATCCTAGGTTACACATGTTGGATGCAAGTTTTCTCCATTAAGATATTTAATTAGTATTAAATATTTATTTTTATCATTATTATTGAATAATTGTTATTATTTGTTATTAATAATATTTAGTGTTTTGTGTGTGTGTGTGTGTGTGTGTGTGTGTGTGTGTGTGTGTGTGTGTGTGTGTGTGTGTGTGTATTAATATAATATATTTATTGAATTAGTATTACATATTTTTGTTGTTAATGTTATAAAATTGTATAAAAATATGTTATTGATGCTTATTAAATAGTAATGAACTAAAGTAATACACACATTTAATTACTTGGTATTAAATATGTATTATTATCATTATTACTGAATAAAATAGTTAATAATATGTTATTATTATTATTATTTTCATTTTATTTTCACTTATTAACAAACAAAAATGTAATAATATTAATAATTAAACCAAAATAAAAATCCAATCCTATAATAATAATAACATTATTGTTATTATTATTATATAACAAATACAACATTTAATACTAATTTA